CAATTGGTTCTCAGTCCAAAGAACTCCCTTTAGTATTTCTCGTAAAGATGGCCTGTTTATTACAAATTCCTTTATCTTTATCTGGAAATGTTTTTATTTCACTGTAGTATTTGAGGGACAGTTATACTGAGTGTATGATTCTTGGTTGGCTTTTTTTTTTTCAGCGTTTTATATTCATCTCCTCTTTGCCTTCTTTCCTGCATGGTTTTCTGCTGAGAAATCAGAGCTTATTTTTATTGGTTCTCCTTTGTGCGTAACTTTTCATCAAGTCTTTGATTTTGGAGATTTTTATCATAATATGTCTTGGTGATTTTATTTTGGGGTCATCCTGTTTGGGGTTCATTCAAGCTCCTTGAATGTTTATCTTCTTGTCTTTCATGTTAGGGAAAATTTCTCCCAACAGCTCATTGACTTTCTTTGTTTCTTCCTGTACTAATATTCTGATCACCCATAAGTTATGTTATCCCACATGAAACTTAGTCTTTCTTCAGATTTTTTTTGCTTCTTTTGTTTGTTTTGAAGGCATTTGTATTTATAGGTGTTCTCTGATTACATTTATCATGGTTATAAAATAATGCTGAGAATCTGAAATCTCTGGTATATACAGATGACCATGACAGCTTTATCCGTCAGCAGGGAAAATTTGACTTTTACATTATTAGTCATTCTCTTTCGAAGCATTTTACAGGTTCTTTTGTTTATGATAGTTTCCTATGGATGCACTGCATTTGGGAACTAGAGGCCATCTTTAAGTTGGGCACATTCCCACAAATTATCCATGAAAGAGTTGTTGTTGTTATATGCTGTGGAGTCGGTTCCAACTCATAGCGACCCTGTACAGGGTTTCTGAAGCTGTAAATCTTTACGGGAGCAGAAAGCCTCATCTTTCTCCTGCGGAACAGCTGGTAGTTTCGAACTGCTGGCCCTGAGGTTAGCAGCCCGATTTGTAACCACTATGCTACCAGAGCTCCTTTACAAAAAAGTAATTATACTCAATTTTTAAAACATCCTCACACATGCTGTTTCAATTTACTATGATATGAAATTTTGAATAAAAAACCTCCCAGGACAGACTAGGAAATAGGCATTTCTTGCCTATATTCAATTTAGCTATTCCTTTCCAAAATTAATGAGATAAAATAAATATGGATAAAAGACATATGGCATTAAAAAAAGACCCATTTATCTTAATAATAAACATATCAATACAAATCACTATAATTAAATATACTTGATAAGTGATATTACTCTAATTTGGGTAAACTGCTAAGTTTTAAAGGGCATTTTAATTCTAAAATCAGGATCTTCTAAGAGACTCCAAGGTACTCAATTATCGGTGTAATGCAGACGAAAATACTGTTACTGTCAGTCTAGAATATTTAAGTCCATCAAAATCTACTAAAAAAATCATAAGAGCAATTTTCTTTAATGAAATGTTGCAAGAAGGAAAAACAGCTCTCCATGATTGGCTATAATAAATTTGGCAATTTATCTTTTTGTAAAGCTTTTCCTGAAGTCCCAAAAGAATGGTTATTCTTCTAAATAAGTCTTCCTTTCATTGACCTGGTTGAAAACATCAACTCAACTGTCAATAAAGTCAAGACTTTTACCCAGTACCCTGTGGGCTCTGCCAAGTTCACTCACAGACTGCCTCATCAGGATTTGCCAGAAGTGTCAGCAAACAGGTCAGGGCAAACCATGTTCAATACTAGTTAGTTGTTGTTAAGTACCATTGAATAGGTTCTGACTCATAGCGACCCTATATAGGATTTCCTTGGAGTGGCTGGTGAGCCTGAACAACCAAACTTGGAGTTCAAACCAATGTTGCAGTCCAGCACATTAACCCACAGCGCCACACTCAATTCAGTGGGCCCATACTTGGTACCTCCAAGTTTAGGTATATTGAAGAACTTCTGTGAACTCTCATTTAATGTTTCAATAAGGTACTCAAAGGCACATCCTGCACTTGGGGCGTCCACCACAGGAGACCATATTATCCCTGTGGGGAGGGAGCAGCAGGGGAAGGACAAGTAGGCCAAGCCAGGTGGGGAAACGGGAGAGGAAAGCTGGTGGACTTGCAAGGAAGGAAATAAGGAAGCCTCTTCAGATATTTTTCATTCTTTATTTTGATTGTCCTTCTAGCTTACTAGTATTGAGAGATTTATCTTCAAGGTAATTTGGGCTTCCATTAATTTAAATCTATTTTGTTGCCCTTTCAATGTATTGTCCATTTCTGAAATCTTAGTATTAACTTTCTGGATTTCTATTTGCAGGTTTTGTAGTGTCTCTAATCCTTTATCTGTTTTGGTTGATTGTTCCCGTTTTCCTGAATTCTTCCTTGTTTTCCTCAACCTTTCTATTAGTCATTTGTTGTTGTTGTTGTTGAGTGCCGTCAGGTAGGTTCCGACCCATAGGGACCTTGTGGAGAGTTTCCAAGGAGCGGCTGGTAAGCTTGAACCACCTATCTCGCAGTTCAAATGACTTTGGAGGCACCTAAATATCATTGTCTTGAATTCTTCTTCAGGTCGTTTCAATGCCTTTTTTTAGTTACACTGAAATATGTTTTCTAGCTCTGCCTCTTGGTCACTTGTTTGAGCCACTCTCTGTTGTTTCCTCATGTTAACAGAAAGTCAAATTCTTAATAAACAACTTAAAGAAATAAAGCACAATGCCCCCACTTGACCTCATTTACCTTCACTTCACTGAACTCTAGAACCAGAGAGTAAGAAGTGCACTTTTTGTTTTTTGTTTAGTTTTTATTGTGATTTGAGTGAAAGTTTATAGAGTGTATTGGTTTTCTATTCAACTATTCATACACTTTTCCTTTGTGACTTTGATTGCAATCCCCACCATGTAACAACACTCTTCCCACTTCCTCTGTGTTAATCATTTCCATTCAACCTTCTTTCCTATCCCTTCCTGCCTTCTAAGTTTTGTCCCTGAGAAACCTTTTGATCTCATTGTGGTTGATGGTTCTAAGGAGTGTGTATTTCCCTGGTGTTATTTATCACCTTACCGGCCTGTTTATTGCTTGGCTAAAGGTTGAGCCACAGGGTTAAGTTCCGTTTGAGGCTTGTACACTATCTAAAGGTCATAGTCTTGGAGTACCACCAGTCTCTATTAGACCAGTAAGCCTAGTCTGTTTTATGATTTTGAGTTTTGTTCCCCATTTTTCTCCCATTCTATCCAGGGCCTCCTATTGTGATCCCTTTCAGAGTGGTCAGTTCATCTGTTCTTCTAGTCTCAGGGTTATGGAAGCTGGAGTTTATGTGGTCCTTTAGCCCTTTGGACTAATTGTTTCCATATAGCTTTGATTTTCCTGACTCTTCTTTGCTTCACATGGGTAGAGACCAATAGTTGCTCTCAGCTGACTGATCACAAGTTCTTAAAACCTCAGTTGCTACTCTCCAAAGTAGGATGTAGAACATAGTGTATGTTTGATTGGCAGTTAGTCTGCATGTCCCACAAGACTATGGTCTTGAGCCCCAGAACCAGCGACTCCTTCCCTCATGGTGTTTGGTAATGGCTAAGAAGTTTTCATAACTTTGCAGATGTGTACTGTAGGATCAGCACTAGACTGTGAACCACAAGGTCAGCTATTCAAACCCATCAGCTGTTCCTCAGAAACCCTATACAGGGTTGCTAAGAGTTGGAACCAAATCAATGGCACTTAGCAATAATTTCTAATACTTAATTCTGCTTACTGACAGAAAGCGTAAGCACAAGATTTCAGCTCAACAACCTTGAGAACAGAGGCCATGCCTTGTCTTTCAAATCCCACAGAGTCCTGGGAACAACACAAGTCCTAAGAAGAACATCATGGAACAGACTGGCTCCTAATCTCAAGGACTCACCAGGGAAGCCTGAATCTAATGCACTGAACAGCAAAGCAGCCAAGAGACATGGTGACCGTGGCTATTGGAAAATGATGTGCAGCAGTGGTAGGCAGGAGCTTTAGACAGAGACGTAACAGGACAAATGCAGCAATCCAAATGGAAGGTACTGATAGCCTGACCAAGCAGTGGGGTTCATATGTGGACACCATGCTTTAGGACAGAAGGACACAGGCAAAGTGAATGTAGGAGGTTGCTCCAGAAGACAGAGCAAGGACCCAAGACTTGAAGTCACAGGAAAGCAGACACAAGCTCAATACAAGGAACTTTCTAACAACAACTCAATGGAATGGATGAGACTTCATTAGAAAGTGAGCTGTCCATCACTGGCCACATTCAACTAAAAGTTGCAGAAGCACAGGTCAAGGTGGGATTCCTGCACCACTTATCTCTCAGTTGGGATTTGGAGGCTCTCATGGGGATGGAGCAACCCAATGGTGTTGTGGAGGGGAGGACACCCATTCACAAAAGCACCCCCATCACTGTGCATAACTCAGGCATCTGAGCAATCCTCACGTTGTCACCTCAAAGTAGCCAGTGATGGCATTTAAGAGGAATGTGCCTTTGCTCAAAACATAAATACCCAAGTTACACCTTCCTTCAAGGATTGTGGCCGCTGATAGTCTTCTGGGCCCTTGTGTGGACCGCATCTTCACCATGTACATGAGAAGAGAAGGGCATATTCTCATACCATCCAAAAAGCCTACAAAGGTTTTTTTTAGGACCAAAAAAAAAGCAATGTGGGCAAAATATAAACCAAGAGAGACTGTATATTCCCAGGAAGATTCTCTGAAAATTTCCCTTGAAACCAGTCATACTTCAAGTGCACATGGGGGCCTCACTGGGTGTGTGCATCCTTCATACAAGCCCAACACTCATGTGACTCTGCTTATGGAAAGTACAGATGCCCCACCTTGTTACTGGGCTCAGCCTGTGCAAACATGGAGCGTGAGGAGTTAGAGGATGAAAGAAGCAGGTGAGAGCCATTCTCTTCCTCTAAGAGGAAAACAACTGCCTGTATTCACTTTCACTGAACCAAATTGCAGATCCTAATAATATAAAAGGTAGCTGCAAAAGAGAAATGTCAATACATGCACAGAACATTTTTTAAGAGATCACGTCCTGCTGTTTCTCAGAAGTAGGTAAATGATGGCATTCTGCATGCTCTTTCAATACAGGGAGCACCTGAGATCCTACAGACAGGAAACATGGAGAAGATAAATCCAAAGATGTGTGCATCAGGTACACCCCGAAGTTCACCTGTCAAAAGAACAGCAGAAACAAAAAAAACTAGATTATTATAGGAGTTAAAATAGTTCTGTAAGCAATAATGTTGAATAAAAGTTTAATTGAACATTTAAATCTTACAATTTTAAATTAAAACTATTCTTACTTTCAGGTATCCTTTCTTCTTTTTTTCTGGACACATTCTTTTTACATCCTCCTACCTTCCCTAGCTGCCCACAGAACAGCCTGCTTCTGGGTCCTGCTCTCTGACCACTGCTAGGCCAATTGCCACTCTTTTTCCTAATGTAAAAGTCATTTTATGAAGATAATGGAAAAACTTGGCTGTATTCCTATGACTTGTTGTTGTTGTTATGTGCCATGGA